AATATAGAAAGTCTACTTTTTTATTTTTTTAAAATTATAAATAGAAAATTAATAAATAAAAATTAAATGAAAAACGACAATGTTCAGTTATAATCCGTCTGGTAATGCTACGGCTGGTGTGACATTATTAATATATAATAATCATAAGAAATCAAAATAAACCCAATCATTATGTGGTTCCGTTCCAGAGAAATGAAAAACTTTTTCAGCCTTGGTATAGGGTAGCTTAAAATTTTAATGCACTGTTTAACCCCACTTTTATCTTCTTTATTTTCTTTATTTTTTCATCCGAAATTCTCCTTTTTATTTTTTCCCCCCACGACATCTTGGTAAAAAGGTGTGATTTTAGCTTATCGGACACTGTTTACATTTTAAAAAAATGTATTACAAAAATTCTAAATACAGATAGATAAATGGAAGAGCAAATAATAGCATTCAGTATTGAATATGTCAACAATTTTATTAAATTTCTAAAAATCATTTCTTTGTATTCGCGAATATGAAAAAATGATTGTTTTTTGAAAAGCGCATCTAGATAAGTAATATAGATAATAATATAGATATATAATATAATAAAGACTAAAACACAAAGTAACTTAAAAATTGCGGTGTATTGGTCATCTGCAAGATACCCTCAAATGTTTTTCTCTAAACCCTTAATTAGAAGAGGAATAAATCGATAAAATGCAGGTTTCTGTACGAGAGCTGATTTCACTTAAGTTCTAGACAATTAGATTACCTCATAACCAAGTTGATCTTATGTATCTACTGTTGTTCACATAAAAATTCAATTTATCTCTTAATGAATTATTTTAGAGAGTTAGGTATCCTATTTTCTGTAATTGTTGTTGTAATCCTTGTAGTTTCATTATGCTTGATAAGACCTGCATATTAATTTTTCCTGCGAATGATGAAACTCTAACTGGAATGGTGAGTGAGACTTAGCAATGATATAAGCAATGATATAATTCAGATTTATAAGAATCAGGTTATAAAAGTGAAGTAGTGGAAATTATTTAATCTATTATTATATTTTAAATTTATATTATCAGCACCGTATAAGGAATATGACAAATAAATCGAAGAAACTAAAGATCCGATTTGCAAGACAAGTTTTTTATTTCTAGATAAAGAAATATTCAGTATATTCAGTAATATAGAATACATAGATAATTTTTTTTTTTTGGGATAAAGTACAGATAAAATTATTTAACTTTATATGCCTAAAGAGCCAAACTAGAAAATAAGATATATTAATTAAATGTGTCACAAAAAAAATTGTGGTGTCCTATTAGAATATAACTACTGTATAGATTGGGGATTACACCTATTAAAAGCTATTTGCTTACTATATTGAAGACTGAATAAAAACACAACTAAAGCACGCGTCAATGATAAATATACACAGAACCATAAAATTACTTTGGTTATTATAAATAAGTAACGTTAAAAAATTGAACTCTTGAACGTTATAATTTGGTAATTGTCCACAACACTTCATGAGATACTATAAAGCTGTAAATCATTAGAACTTAAAAGACTTACTGCCGCTATCAGTTTAATTTATTCAACATCAGTTTTTCCTCACACAAATTTTGGGGCTTCTTCGTCTTCTAGATTTTAATTCCATTTTTACGATGTTATTATTTCCTTTTCAGAGCGTATGCCCAATTTATTGACATTCTCAACTATTTCTATTTGAATGGACTTAATGTTTGTTAATGTCAGTAGATCTTCGTTAATCACAGCAATAAATAAACCATACATTCTATTCAAATAACGATAGACATAGGCATGTTGTTTACTAGTAATATTTGGTATTAATAAAGAGTAAAGATACTGTTTAGTTCTGATATTAGTTTTAATGAACCTTGCTTTTATATGATAAAATTTAACTACGTCGATAATTATTTTTAATACCAAAAGAACTTTTTAGCGCATTTAAAATCCGAGCTTTAAAGATAACTCAATGGGTTAACCAAAATTCAAATTAATTTCATCGTAGACAAGAGAATTTATATCTTAGTAGTATAGATTATCAGAAATTAAACATTCACAAGCAGTATAACCATTTATTTTTTTTTCACAATTAATGAGCCTAGAATTCATTTTATTGAACTTTAAAAAGATATCAAATCCCAGCTCTATATCCAGTGTTACAAAACATCATTTATTCAATACAAAAAAATTCAATTTTAGGGACGTAAAACGAAGAAGAGTGCGACTGCGTTTTAGTCAATAATAGATTTATAGAAACCAATGTCTAAGCCGAATTTTGCACATCTGATGACTCTAGAAAATATTTGATACCGATCTCGTGAACTTACGAAATACAAATTAAATCCATAGAGGAAAATCAAATTGAAAATCAGACTAAATATGGCATAGTCTCAGAAGATCGAATAGCAATATTGCTTAACAGGTATTAAGATGGACCCTACAGTTGCTAGACACCTCGGTGAGGTGGTGGAAAGCAGTTGAACGCGAATTAAGAATTGCGGAGTGCTGAAACCGTTGTCCATTTTCATAACAGACTTCATTTAAATTGACAGCTGAGGCTCTATGCTCTACTTGGAAGGATATAATTATATACATACTTTAGTAACCATTTCTAATATGAAAGATTCGTTCGCATTCTTTATTTCCGGTTTATATATAGCAGGTTAATTATGAAAAACTCTTACATAACATACATGTGATGTGATATTACACAATAATACCGCATTGAGTATCTCAAATAAATAAAATCATTGTTACGTTTCAAAAAGTTTTCCCAATAAAAAAAGTAAATAAAATTACACTTCAAGAAGTTTATTAAAAAATAGAAAATGCATATTAGCGGAAATGATTTACTTAATTACGTTTTATTTACACGATATTTTACAGGTTTCAATTTAATTTTAGAACACTTAACACTTGAAGTATTCAACCGTAAATTTTTAATATTCATGAGATCAGTAATAAAAATATTGGAATGAATTTCAGCAAAGGCATAAATATGAATCAATTGTTTCATTGTTTATTCAAAATTCAAATATGATAATTATATATATGTTAATTAATAAATTATCTGTTTTGAACGAATAAAATGCATATTCGCAGTGTGCATATAAGCCTTTCTAAAGTCAATTTAATGCTTTGAAAGTAAATTTTATTTTCTAATTTATATTGCACAAATGCATAATTAATTGTTTCTAAAATATTTTTATCTAATAATTAATCATTAAAAATAAAAAACAAACATAAATTACTTATAACTTGTAAGTAAAATACTTGGATATTAGAATATTTCAATTGGAACAATTGCTCGATAAACAAATGTTTCACTCTATTTTCTTATAATTTTATACAAAAACATATAACAAAAAATCTTCAAAGCTAATAGTTGAAATGCTCAAAACCATAAATACACAAAAAACCAACTTACTTAAAAGTAAGACTTATAAGACAATCAGAGACCAACTAGATCACAAGAGATTTCAGCCTTTAAAAAAATTCCTGCAAATTTTCGATCACTTCTATGTTTAATAAAAGCATTAATCAGACGAAAACCTGATTAATATCTTACAAGAAGTCTAGTTAGTTAATCGGTTTTGCAATTCCAACAATGTCTCTGTGTAAAGAAATCAATCTGGAACACATAATTTAAAGGCTAGCCTAAAGAACACAATACTAATTAGACTTGTCAACGTAAAGATTTTTTTGGAAATGGCTTCTTAAAATCCATCAGTATATAGATTTTCTTACAAGTGAAATGGAAAAAGAGAGAGAGAGAATGAGTATTATAGTATTTATAATAATAAATAAGTATGTTTAATAGTATTATATATAATATTTACTATTAGTATTATTATAATTACTATTAGTATTATTATAATTACAATTAGTATTATTATTATTATTATTGTGGTATATATTATAAATAATATTACTATTATGTTGGAGCTGTTTTGAGCTAGTGCACTTAAGCACTTATACTCTTTTTAACTCGAGGTTTTGTCAAAACCCCTCTCTACACCTTGACTAGATTATTGTTTATCACTTCATCAGACTAAGCAATAATTGATCTCAGATCTGCATACCTCCCCGAGGAGCCTGTAACCATTCTGAGATTTGATAACGCGGTGTTGTTCGCAAATAATTTCAGGATATATTATTATTATATTATAATAATAATATAGTACATATAATAGTATATAGTATGTTGAAATCCATAATCTGCTTTGTAATAAACGAAAGAGTACAAATTAATAATATGACAATTCAATTATTATTGACGAAATAGTCTGTAATTCTATATAAATACTGTAATGGTTGTGTATTTATTTAGGAAATTGGAGAAGAAAATTGACTTCAACTTTATCTTTAACCTTCACACTATTTTCAAATTATGCTTGTGACAGCTGGCATAACTGGTTGCTCATTTAAACCAAACCAATGATTCACAGTACCGAACCATAAGACTAAAAGATTAAATAAAAAATTAACTTCAACATCCTGATTTTAAATCAAAGAATTGAATTGCATATTGATCTTTCTTTTACAAATCGGACGGATTTGTAGGTCCATATCTCTTTGGAAAAAAATTTCAAAATTTTTTCCCGAGATACGGGTCATCTTATTTTATGGAAGGAGTTCATTTCAGGCAAATCGGAGATCATCAGGTCATTTTTTGCCAAAATCCGTCCAGTTTGTAAAAGAATGATACATATGCAAAATTTTACTTGAAAATTTGATTTATAACCCGCTATTTTTAAACTTTCGTTTTTTGTATAAAATAAAAATGTTATTAACTTAAATATATTTAAGTTAATAATGCAATTTTGATAAGAATTTTATCACAAAAGAGTTCACAGATAAACACAATAAAATATATGAAATAAAATGTGTAAATTAAGAGTATTTAAAAATATTTGACAAAGCTAAATACATCGTGTATAAAAGCCCAGCCTGAAAAAAAATGTATATTTTGCACATCTACAATATTAAGTAAATTTTTATTAAAAGTAAAAATAATGAAAAGCACTCACCCGCAAAAGCCATGTCAGCACACTTTCACGATATGGCACAAAAAGTGTGGAATTACCATTATTCTTTTTAGCATCCGCCAGAGCTGCGATAACTTTGCCCAGAGTGAGCAAGCTTTTGTTTATGCATACACCTTCACGTATGCGTTCCCCATTTGTATTGGAAGTGTTAATACGTTCACTGCCAGCCAAATCGACTAGACTGATTTTGCTGCGTCGTGTTTGCTGTATTGCACGGGTCTGTGCATCTGCCTTCAACGAAGTTTCTGAAGAACTTGAAGATATATCGCTCATTTCAGTTATGTTTAGTACAATATTAAATATAGAATGAGAACGAGAGCTTTTATCATTCATGCCTGTAGCTGCTGTGGCACGTTGTGAATTGCCTACCGCAAGCCAGTTACGCAAAGCCTTATATGAATCGACTGGATGTGCACTTAAATCAACCACGTATGGTCCCCAATTAGGATGCTCACGTACTTTGAGTCCCTTGCGATGTACAGGTGTACTAGCGCCCCATGAAGTATGTTGTGCAGCTTCAGCAACGCATAGTAAATCATGTATTTTCTCATTATATATTTCAAAATAACTGACTTCAATTTCTGCTTGTAATGTGTCTTTAACTGATTCAATACGACGAAATAGTTCATGACAAAAACGTGGAATAATACCAGCCTCTGGATGCGGAGCACCTCCGTCTAAAGCATCATCATCTAAAGCTTCAACACCCATCATGCTATAAGACTTACCAGAGCCTGTCTGCCCATAAGCAAATAGACAAGCATTATAACCTTCGAAAGCACGAGTTATCAATGGTTCTGTAGTCTCAACGAAAACATCTTGCTGTGAAGCGTATTCCAAACTTTCTGGATCGCAAGAATGAAATACATGATCGTAGGTGAATGAATGTGTTACACCAGCAGATGAATCAGCTGTAGTACCAGCTAATACAGTGAGTTCGGTTCCATCAACTCTTACTACATTTGTAACGCATTTGCGAGCACATTCTAAAATATTTAAAGGGCGCACGCGTACCGCCACTGTAAGATTACTGATCTCAGTATTATCTTCCAAATTATTGCATGTTAATGATTTTGTTGCTGTTTTAATAGAAGCTGATTTACGACTACTTTGCGGAGTATTAACACTGTTTCGACCAAGTACACTACTTGGTGTAGATAGGGCACCCCGATGTAATGACGAAGGAGTGGAACATGCATTTACTGTTGTAGATTTAGGTTTTAAGCGTTGTGCAGAGCCAAAAGAATATTTACTAAATCCTGTATTTAATAATTGACTTTCTGAATTTTGTTCAGCATTTTTTAATAATCGACGCGCTCGGTCTGGTACATTTAATTTACTCATGTTTTTATGACGCAGGTTTGATGCTGCTATTTTTGGCGTTCCCGGCATTCCTACACTACTTAAAGCAGGACTACGTGTAGTCAAACCTTTAAAACGTGCATGAAGTGGAGAACTTTTATTACTCATTTTATTTTGTAATCACAAAAAAGCAAAATATTATGAAAAACAATCGTTTTCTTTTAAAACACCCGCTCTGACAATAACGTTTTGTTGTCAATTGTGATAGCATTATGTGCAATATGCACGATGTTAAAAATTATCGATAACAATAACACAGAGTTGCTAAAAATTTTACTCAAATGTTTTTATTTATGAAACGCATAAAAATGCTTTGTGCATATAGCATTGATTAAATTTAATATATTCATTCTTTTATATATTTTTATTCTATTATATATATGTACAAAGTAAACTGTTTTAAATATTACTCCACAATATATATAAGAATTCGTTAATTGCAATAATAAATTTTTGAACAATGTTTACTTTTCACAACTATTAAATCACAATTAGTTTGAGCGCAATTATAAATATTTATACTTAACTAATTTATTTAATAAGCAGTGGCATAAAAATATTAAAAAATTAAATATTAAAATTAAAATATTAATATTTAAATTTACTTTTTACAAAGTTTACAATTATTGTATTTATCATACAAAAAGCAATCAATATATGCACTAAATGGCATAAAAGAAATTATCTTATATCCGTCTTATATCTTATATCTAATACTAATATAGTGGTATAAAATATGTATTGAAAAAACACACTTCTTATAAAACTGCTTTATAAATACATTAAATTAAATCTTTTGTTTTGCACGATTTTTACAGTTTTTCAGTTGAGATATGTTTATTGTTAATGTTTGCCAATTTTATGTTCTGTTATAAACATAAACATCTGTCATATGGCTTGCCACGCAACGTGATTTGTACCTGATCACGTTGTATCTACACACGTTGCAATATATAAATGTCATATCATTTACCTTTGATTGAATGAGAAAAAGGTGATTCCAATAAAAGTAATTCATTGAGCTTGCATTACGTATTTATGACACTCTATATATAAAAAGCCTCAACGTTTGCAATTCTTGACGGAGCACTATATAAACAGCTTGACAGCTGATAATGTATACTTTACGGCAATTCTGTACGTAGCATTAATTTATAGTAATTCAATAAAATATATAAAAATATTTTTTAAATAAACTATTTGTTTCTTTAAATTAGAAATTTAAATATATTAATTTTAATAATTAATTTTCGGTTTTTGAAGAATTGAATAAATTTTTGAAAATAGGAAATTTCAGAAGTACGATTTTATTACGTATTGTTAACAATTGTTGACAATTTGAAACTATTGTTTGCCAGCCCTGTTTTATTATTGTTTGACTGTTGTATCGTTCTTTTGTACCAGTCGGCGTTTTGATTATTTTGCGTTAAGTGTTGGTATTTCGTTTGTGACGTGTAAAGAAATAACGGCACGATGGATAAGTGTGTAGACAAATATAAGAGCAAATGGGAATTTTACCGAAAAATTGCTTTCGGTGTAATTATATGTGCAGTTATATTATCATTACCAACAATATGTTCGACACAGAAAGATAATGCCAAGTTCAGATACTCACGAGAAGCTAACGAAAACTTTGATCCAAAAGTAGCACCACCTGTACATCACCATCATGATCATGACGACCATGATCATCATCATCACCATCATGATCACGACGATCATGATCATCATCACCACCATCATCATAATGAACATTTCCGTGATGAGCATGAACATGATCATCCGCATGAACATATACATAGTCATGGACAAGCGAAGCGAACAACACATCAGAAAGCTCCAGTTGGTAAGCGTATAGTTGAATTTAAAGTATGGCATGTACATATTATAGATAATTTCTTTCTTAGACATATCCAATATATGGTTATATGCTATTGGTTCAACATTACTAATAAGTGCGGCTCCTTACGTTTTACTTTATGTAATACCCTTAGATAATAGTGAAGCAATGAAACCACGTCTTAAAGTACTATTGTCATTTGCATCTGGTGGACTGTTAGGTGATGCATTTCTACATTTAATACCGCATGCTGCGCATCCACATACACACGGTGATCATGATCATTCGCATCATAGTCACGAACATGAGCATGGAAATGAACACGAACATGGACACAGTCACGGTCATGATATGACGGTTGGTTTGTGGGTGTTGGGCGGTATTATTGCGTTTCTTGCCGTAGAGAAATTAGTGCGTTTACTTAAAGGTGGTAATGGTCATGGACATAGTCATGGCTCAGCACCAAAACCAGTTAAAAAATCTGATGAAAAACGTGACAGCGATGAAAAACCAGCGAAAGACAAACAGAAAAAAGGTTCTTCGACCTCAACTGCTAAAGCGTCAAGTAAACCTAAAAAAGAAAAGGAAGAAGTTGCAATTACTGGGTACTTAAACTTAGCTGCAGATTTTGCACATAATTTTACAGATGGTCTTGCCATAGGCGCTTCTTATTTGGCAGGCAACAGTATTGGCATCGTTACCACAATCACAATATTGTTACATGAAGTGCCACATGAAATTGGAGATTTCGCTATACTTATAAAATCTGGGTGCTCACGTCGCAAAGCTATGATGTTGCAGTTGGTGACTGCACTTGGTGCTGTAGTTGGCACAGCGCTTGCACTATTAGGTGCCAGTACCGGCGGTGATGCGTCACCTACATGGGTATTACCGTTCACCGCTGGAGGATTTATATATATCGCTACAGTTAGTGTTCTACCCGAATTGTTGGAGGAATCCACAAAATTAGTGCAGTCCATCAAAGAAATTGTGGCGTTATTAACAGGTGTGGGCTTAATGGTAATTATTGCTAAGTTCGAATAGTAGTAGTGATAATACTAACAAAGCCGTTGCAGCATTAAGATTACGCTTGAGCAAATAATACTAAATTATAAAGCCTTAAACAAATTTAAAAAAATAAAGGATATATGTAGAAAAATTGAATGAAATATATATCATGTTAAATTTTATGTATGTACTTTTTTTATTTTTATTAAATATATATTTTTGTAATTTAAAACATTATTATTTTTTTGCATTTACGTTGTCTAGTTGAAATTTTTATATTAAATATAAGATCAGCTATAAATTACAAATATTTATTTAACGACGATATTTGAAGAGTATGTATTTTATCCCTATTAAAAAATCTGATCGCGTATCTCTTCACTCACTAGCAGAAGTTGCTTTAATTTCGTTGAGGCAATATTCAGCTTGCTCAACAGCGTCATCATTATTACACTTCTTGCCAATGCGATATGCGTTTTGACATATTTGCTTTGCTTTGGCCAGAAATCCTTCATGAAAATAAATCAAACCTAAATTGGCTTCTAAAATCCCTTGCTGCGCTATGTCATTCAAATCTTTGGCTATAGTCAAGGCATGTTCTATGTAGTTCTTGGCACCTGTATAGTCTTCAAGCTAAACAATTCAATAAAAACATATTTTTATTTTAAATATACATATTCTTATGTATATAAATATTATATATAGTAACTTACGTGCACACAAGTGACACTTAAATTGTTCAGTATTATTATAATTTTGTCGTTACTAGGTCCATAAAGATCAGTGAGCAGTTCAAATGCTTCCTGGAAATTTTTTTTTGCATCTTCGTATTTGGCTTGTCTTAATTGTAACTGACCAAACCTGTGTAGGGATAAATAAGAAAAATATAAAATTTAAATACGAAGAAAATATTAAGAGAACGTAATGCATGAAATATAGGTTTTTTTGAAATTCAACTAATGAGTTCCAATTTTTAGATTTTTGGTGAAAACATATCAAAAAATGGACTTGGAATTTGAACACTGAAATACAATAGGGATTATTACAGAATTCAAATTGCTAATGAACTGTGGACAAAGGTGCATCAATTAGATAAACAGTAATAGTTGAGCGGTTGGCAATGTCATATTGGAGATTTTAAAGTGAACTGTTTGGAAGTTACAGAATTACGCTCTGTGGTTTAAATTTGCACAGATATATTCTAATAAGACGAAGTCAAAAAAATTCGAAACGTTGACAATTGTTTAGTGGAACAAAACTATATATATAATTAACATAAAAAATATAAAAAAATTGTTAACATAAATGATGTTCTTTACGTGAACCTTTAAATAAAACGAATCCATTATTAATAAATAATTATTATATTTCGCGTGACATATATAGAGTGACCGGATTTACGTCTTCAGTAACAAGTTGCTCTCATTGCAAAGGATCAAAGTCCGCACGCATCACTTTGAAATCGAAAATCGTAAATATGACAAAATGTTAAACTTAACACAGATTGAATATTCACTAACAAAATTTATGGTTTTCTGATTTATTTCCAGGTGTTGGCAGCTATATTTATTGGGGTCGGTCATTCGTCGTTTTTGTAAACGACCAAGTGACACTCATTCCTACAAAGAAAAAAAACTTGAAATGGATGCCTAAAAAGTTAAATTAACACCAACATTAAGAAGTGCCGGTTATAATCTTTGTTATAAAGTTGGGTAGATGGATCCTACTGTTAGGTTTAAATATCGAGCTTGTTCAAACTGGACAAGCAACTCATCAGTAACCTGCTCAACACTACGGTATCAGTGCTGATAGCTCACTGCGTATTAGGAAAACATGCTATGAGACTGGATGACTGGATGATTAATAATGAGTTTTTTCGGAATTGTGACTCTGTGAATGGGGAGAAAACTGTTCTTCAACTTATGTGTCAGTATCCATAATTTTCTAGAAGAAGATTCAAAACCTTTGTGTCGTTTTTCCCGCCGATCTAGCAAAATTAAGTTTGTACAATTTTATAGACCTATCAGGTTGGTTCACTTAAATGGGGGAATCGTGCATTTCGCCGTTTTTCGTCGCGATCTTTTTTGGAATTCTACTGCAGTCTTTTTTGGAATTCTACTGATCTGTGCACAAAAAACGCTAATCAGTGGTATCATAACGAATTATTATTTAAGCTAATGTGCGGCTTGAACATGTCTGCTACTCCAACCTAATTAAACCTATATAAAGTTAAACGAAATTAATATAACCCAAGATAAACTTCTTCAGACTCATAAAAAACTGTCAATTAGAGGAGGAAAAATGAAGGCTATAATAGAAAAAATCGACCACGGCTATCACAATCAAAGGTGCTTAATGGAACTGTCAAACTAAATCGAATTAGAAGAGTTATATGTAACTTAATAAAAAACTATAACTTAAGAATCATTACACAAATTCCGACTCTTGCACTGTAGATCAAATTATCACTTTATAAAGTGATATAAAAAAACATGTGCTGGGAACATCTTATATAAAATTTAGTAATAAAACTCGATAAGGTACCTTCAATACTAAATTTTTTGAGAAAATTAGTCTCAGAGAAATACTTTGATTATAACAAGGAGGTACAATACGTCTTTAGGTCTCAGTGCGAAATCTTCTAACTTAATAATAATAATATGATTTAGTTTGATACACGTACCAGTTTTTGGTAAGGCCGAAAAGTTCTTGTACATCTTTATCGTAATCCAATTCTTCAATATTTTTCTGAATGCCTTTTAATGTCCACACAAATCCTAGTTGCGCTTTTTCTAAGTCGCCCTGCAATTGTGCCATATGTGCTAATTTGGAGCTTATATGTAAAATCTGAAAGTAACAAAAAAACAATATTAACTCTAATTAAAGTAAAAAATAAAGCTAAGTACCTGTGGGCTTGTTTCGGTATGACCATCTGCTAATAAACTACGCATAACGTCGGCAAATAGTTTTTCTGCCTTAGTATACTGTTCACGTTCCATTGCCAAATTGGCCATAACATCATATATATAAATGATACCTTCTTTGCTATTTATGTCTTGAGCCATACGTAGCGCCAGGTGCAACATTTGCTCAGCTTTATCAAATTGTTCACGTTGTATACATAATACGGACCGTTTTATTGCTTCGACCAGCTTTGTTTCAGGTGTTATATCTTCTTCTTTATGCCATTTAAACCAACTAAATATGGAAAATGCGCTGCTTGCTGTTATACCACCTCTGGTTGTAAAAAGTGACCAGAAATGTTGCCAAAAGTGGTTACTTCTTTCATATTCAAATTTAGTTCGTTTGTGCTTGTACTCTTGCCACTTTTTCTTGTGCGCTACAAGTGGTACGTATACTCGACAAAAACATTTTAAAGGACTACTTCTTAAATCTATTTGAACCCTGCGTAACGATATAAAGCGTATTTGTCGTGAAACATTGTGACATAAACCGAAATTCATTTTTAGGTCACTGAATACTTGTTGTTGTAACTTCAATTTTGTTTTGCTCTTGTAACCGCCTAAAACAGCTGATCGGGTGTGTTAGTGGTGCACAAAAACGAGTAATCACTTTTTTGTGCTAAATTTTAATTTTGAATACAACATATTTTCAAATTTTTTGTTTAACACATAGGACAAAACAAAATTTACAAAGAATGAACGCGAAATTTCTAAAAAATATAATTCAAAATGAGTATTAATTTTTATAAATGTTGTTAATATTTTCAAGGCAAATTGATTGAATTCTGAATTAATTTTAATATTTACTTTATATTATATATGTGTAGTATAATTAAAAATATTTGAAAAGCTGCTAATAGCAAAGATTATGCAAATACTCTCAGCTAACGAAGTAATTCCAGAACATCAGTTCGGCTTCAGAGTTAAACACAGTACAAGTGAACAAGTGCATTGTACTGTATCATTCGTTAGAAACTTATTTGAAAACTAACAATACCGCACTTCCATATTTATAGATGTAGCCCAAGCGTTTGTTAAAAAACCACTTAAGCAAACGAACTCTTAGCTTAAGATATAAAGATTTTGTTTTGGAACCTTGTCATCTTAAAGCTGGTATTCCCCAAGGAACTGTTATATGTCCGCTATTATACCTACTATATACAAGTGATGTGCCTAGATCGGTAAACACTTACTGACGACACAGCAATAGTAAATGCACACAAAAACCCGGCAAAAGCCCAACGCATGCTTCAAAATCATGTTCACCAGCTTGAGCAATGGTTATCAGTATGGCGTATCAAAGTCAACGAACAAAAATGTACCCATGTAACGTTTACTCTAAGACCAGCCAACTTCTGCTGTCGAAAAGCTAAAATACCATTAGGCTAAGTGGCGTCTCTACACCTTTTGGACTAACAACCCAATCAAACATCTATATGGCGTTGTTTGAACGATTTTAGCAAAACGAGACGTATTGTGGTTTCCTATGTTAATTCACAACTATTGATGAAAACTGTATCAACCACTATACTCCACAGATCAAAGAACAATGAACAATGAACAGCGGTTTCGAAACGATGAAAAAGCTTCAAAACGTTAAAGACCTGTTGTTGGTTGACTACTTCAAAAAGTGTTGAACAATATTTGGAGCTTACTGTCCAATGTTACTGCATAAATTAAGTTTGCAACAAATCAGTATATTAAATCGATATACTGACCTAACACAGAAGTTACTATGACTACAACTCCTGAATTGTATTTCAAGTTGATAGACCATCACCTGACTTTTTTCTATGAATCTTGGCAATGACTGACAAAGTTCGAAGCTTTGTTCAAAGCACTAACATTTTTGTAATTGTTGAAGCCCAATGTACTCTGAATAGCAAACACATGGCAAAACTTCGATCATGGGATAGGATGGTAAAAATTGAAAGATTAAAGGTAGAGTTTAAATATGAAGTTAAAATTTGATTAAAATTAATAAATCTTGCCACATTGATGGCGTTGTAACATAAATTAATAGACCTGAAAATTGTATGCGTGTTTACCGGTGCTAACATATGGCAGATGTTACGAGGAGTAGACCTGCAATAAACGTACATATTAAAAACAAATGCTTTTTAGTGGAACAATTTACTGTTTTATATGTAGTTATATTTACATATTAATTGGACCAGCACTATTCTTGTAGCACGTGAGAGATCTCTTTTATTACGAGAGATTTTAGCCGGAGGCTTTTTAAGAACTTTACCATAATACAATCGTGATTTTATAGAAGATACAGCTCTGGTAGGAAGAGCAGTAAGCCGTTGTTGATATTTCATCCCAGTCCTAATGATATGAAGTGAGTCATAGACATTTGTAACGTGGAAGGAATGGATTATATTAACTGAGAGGTCATTTGAAAGCCAAGAAACAAGATTTTATTTTGATAGCAGGTATATTTTTTCAATTTTTTTTCTGGCAATTGTATTTCATTTTATATTATCTACTTAACAATCTACTGAAAGATTCGGGATAATATCAATAAGAGATATTAGAATAACAACTTAACAATAACAAATGTTTAACAAATATTTATCAATAAATATCGAATATATAGTTGAGAGATAGGTATGTAATCAAATTGAGAATGACAGAGCACTGGCAATGGTAGAGCCGTACGTGATTAAAATGCTCAAAACGAACAATTTAGACCTAGAAAGGATAAGAACAAGACTCAAAAAAGTTAATATAAAAATGGATGTGTAGACGCAGATCGTTAATTAAAGTGGTATGGTTTGTATACAAATATAAAAGAGACTTTCCCCGAAGTTATGCGAAAGCGGTTCCGTGAGTTAATATCTCCCTCCAAAGAGGAGGTATTCTAGACCATATACTACATTTAAATATGTTAGGGGTTCCACTCGCTCACCACGAAGAAAAAAGAAATACGTGACAAGAACAAACGCTCGTCAACAATTGATACTTAAATATATTGAAAATACATTTTAATCGTCTATTATATTTTATTTCTTTTATTTTAATATAAATAAACAAATTTTTATTTCTGTTAAAATGTTTTAATGACATTGGCAAAAATTTTTTACACGTTTAATGTTTAACATCACATTAAACCAAACACATAAAGATAAAAAGTTTAACAAATATAACCCGTTGTAACAACGTTTAGGGCACTCTTATATATGATGGATTTACTTTCGAAAAAACTTTATATGATCTTTATAACCAATGATTTATAATAGTTAAATAATACAATAGCTTATTCGAAAAGAATTAAGAGTACAAATAAATAAGTGAAGACAATAAAAAAATACTAAAATAACAAAAACTTAGGCGAGGAACTAATAAATATTATAAAATGAATAAACTAAATAAAAAAAAATTATAAGCATATCATTTTAAAATATATAATTTTCAAAATTTGGTATATTTAATATAGATTTTTGGATAAATACGCATTAAGACAGCCTTTGTATTTTTATTTTATTTTAAAATATTATTTTTTTTTTCATGCGAATGCACTAGTAGTTTTAAAACGTTTAAATATTATTTATGATTTACGAATTTTGCTTTCACATTGCTTATTTAAGACTTAATCCAATAAAGATGACCACTATAATTTTGCTACAAACAGAGAACTCGATACTACTAATGTACTACTTAATTGAGTTGATAGGTTCATAAGGCGACTTCATATATTCATATAACATATTCTATGAAGATAAACTTTAACGCACTTAACTGAGCAATGTGAAACCAAAATTATGATTGCTTTGAACTTCAATTGTATATACGAGTACGTAAGTATGTAAATAGTAATGAGTAATGTACGCTTTTTTATAAGTATAACTATATTATTAAATATTATTTTCGTTATTAATTTATGTTTTGTATGTAACGATACATTGTATTGCCCGTTAGTTACTCTATAAAAATTATAAATATTATTATCGTATTTAACATTTAATAAATATTATATATATGTATATATATATATAATTTTTAAGTTGTTCACTTGTATGGTGTTGGTGATACGCAGGAGTCTTAAGTTTAATATAATATAAGATTATATTTTATTTAAACAAGTACAAATATACTTTCGCTTATATTCTCTAATGAAACAACAATGCACAACAATTAATTAAATATAAAATAAACCACAAATCAAAATATTTATTAAAAAAATAAATTTCTGCTTTAAATTTAACTATTCGATATTGATAAAGAAATTACTATTATTGTTTAAATTTAAAAAAATTTAGTTTTTAATTTATTTAAAATTTAATTTTAAAGAGACAAACTATTTCCAAGTAAATATAATGTATGAATTTCGTTATAAAATTATTTTGTAAAAAAAAAATACAAAAATAAAGAATATATAACATTTATAAATCATATTCCAAATAGTTTTTAATTTATTTAAAATTTAATTTCAAAGAGCCAAACTATTTTCAAGTAAATATAATGCATGAATTTTGTTATAAAATTATTTTATAAAAAAAAAATACAAAATCAGAGAATACCTAATATATATAAATTAAATTTCAAATAAATTACAAAGTCTTTTTCTTAATATTTATTTGAAGAATAAATTTTAATAGTTTTAAAAATGTTTAAAAAACAATATACACAAAAATAAAATATAATTTAAATTAATTTAAAATATATTTTAATGTTGTCTTTAAAAATTCAAACTAACATTTAAAATCTGTATAAAAAATTTAAAATTGATTTGCAACTTATTATTTTTTTTTAAAAGATATTTGCATAGAAGTTTATATTTTCGTTATTTATTAAAAAAATTAAATGTTATAAGTGACATATCACCAATAACTGATTTAAAGAGTTGTTGAAAGTGAGTATAAAATTTATTTTATACTAATCTAATTTAATCTCTCTAATCAAAATTTTAATCTTTTTACCTCAAACATTTCCGCTCCTCCCTCCGATATCAATCAAATTTGTTTCGCTGATGACTGCTTAGTTTTCTGCAGGTCCTCTTGTCCACGAATAGTCAGTAATTCCCTCAACCAATATTTTAAGTCCTTGTCCAATTACTATTATACATAGAAACTAAAACTAAATCCACTAAAAGTTTCAACTGTTGCTTTTACGGACAGTTTTCGCGATGGTCCTAGCAGATACAAGGCCTCTGATATAAAACTTAAACTTGATGTGTCATCCGTCAAACTTGTTGACAAATTTAAATATTTTGCAGTAGTATTCTTCCTTAAAAATGTGTCTTTTCATTATATGAACATTAAAATCGCCTTCGGCGTCATAATCAACTTAATGTCTAAGCTAAACTTTTATACTATATAAGCAACTGATTCGGCCCCTTTTTACTTAATCCTTTCACATATGGTCTGATATTTCTTCTGCTCAGATGTAACGTCTTCACGTATTTGAAAAGAAAATATTTCGTGACTGTATAAACTACAGACGTAAATCTGATAAGAAACACCACCCGAATTCTTTTGTCTATAATATTGCCAATATCGCGCGACTAGATAACTTTCTGTTATCTTTAGCTCGTCGATACTTCATCAGGTGTCACAACCTTCTGCTCGACATACTGTGCACTGATCATAATCCCACTGATCAACTACTCTTTATGAGGCATAAGCCATACCAGTTCCTAGCCCTCCATTTGGACGACATTCCCAATCCTCCTCAGTATTCCGGTTGTATAATCATGGTTACGGTAACCCTCTACATAGAGTTTACTCTTAAATAATCTCTTTAACCTAGTTGTTAAACTTCATTTACAATTTACGATGTCATAACGGAAGCCGATAGCAATTGTCGATTTTACATAGCAATAGTGGAAGCAAAAATTTCAATTAGTTTAGCAATGCAAATAGTTAAGCAATTTGAAACCCTGCTGCTAAGGTAATAAACTGCAGTAGAAAGTATTACAAAGTTTTCTTCTATGTTTCCTTCTTCTAAGTAAACACAGCGAACATGTACTAAGCGAACATTAAAGCGTTCCTATTTCTGCAAAGCAATTCAGTAAATTGAAGGGCTTTAAAGGGCAAAGATCATGTCCCAATATTTTATATTTAGCTAGAATCGATTCTTTAGTAGCTTATTATTCTGTGAAAGATATACAGGGTGGTTATTCGTTTGGAAGTGGCCATAATTTCGTCACCACTGTTTAACTACAAATTAAGGCAAATGAATCTATTAATTCGATAGAGGTAATAGACGAGAAACCCAATGAAAAAGAAAGCGTCAAAGAAAATACTCATCCAAAAGATTAGAAAAAAGTTAGAACCTGCGGCAGTGGTGGAAAAACTAAGACCAAACAAATTACAAATAATGATGCAGGTGTGACCACAATGCGAGCAAATCGCAAAGTTCTGAAGAATGGTAATTAACCGATTTAATATTTGTAATACAAATTTAACTCTTTGGTAAAGCAAATAACTGGTTCTATGTGACTAACATGGGTTTTGGAATACTTAGCACAATTTTTTACATAAGTACAAATTGGTTTATATGAACGCAATGGATCTCTTTTTACCGTTATAAATCTGATTACGATTTTTTTAGCTTAACTATTGTAATTTATAAATTTCAAATCTAATATAGTCTTCATTACTTTAGGTGTTAGTGCGATTAAAAAATATCTTTATAAATATTAATCTTGTTAATTTTGTAAATTTTTGGTAATTGAAAACTTTTTGAATTTCATAAAGTTACAAACATAAAGACTTTTTTTCAATAAAATGAGCAAAGATATATTGCTGCATCTAAAATTATTATATTTTTTACAAAAAAAAAAAAAAGATTATTCCAATAAACTTGTGAATATACACACATTTTAAAATATGTTTAGTAAACAAAATTAAAAAGCAGGTATATTTATAATTCAAACAATTAATTTTATACTCAATTAATTAGTTGTGCAATGTTTTCAAATGCGATACTAATGTAAATATTTAGGTGCATGTGTTGTATGCGTGTGTAGTACATGAGTTTATGTATATGTGTATGATTTGTGTATTGTTTATTGTAATATCCACAGTTTTTTTAAATGTTTAAAAAGTATATAATAATTATATGCATAATAATTAAACATAATAACAGTAATAATAAATAAGTATAATTTCTTAAAAAATGTTAAATATAAAAGAAAATAATATACATAATAATAACTATAATCATAGTAATTATACAAATAATAATTATAATAATAATTGAAATAATTATACAAACAATAGCAATAATCACAATAATAATTACAATAATTATAATAATAATAGGCATAATAATAATATTAATTATAATAGTAATTACAACAATTATTATAATACTTATAATTATGATTGTAATTGTAATGATAATTATAACAATAATTATTATAATGCTAAAATAATTACAATTATGATTGTAATAATAATTGTAGTAACAATTATATTAATTGCAATAATTATTATAACACATGATTATGATTATAATTGTAATAATTTTTAAAGCAATAGTTATAATAATAATATTTAAATAATAATAATATTTAAATAATAATAATAGTATTTAAATAATAATAATAATAAATTTAATAATAATCAGAATAAATTTCATAATAATCAGAATAAATTTAATAATAATCATAATAAATTTAATAATAAACATAATAAATTTAATAATAGTCAAGTTTAACAAAACCGTTATAAATATATCAATTTTAAATTGTGTATGAAAATATTTACAAAATATTTAATAACGATTAAATGATTGTTTTTATTGTATTGAAATGCGTAACTAGAAAAAAAAAATTTATGTTCCCATACAGATGTTACTCACTATTATTTTAATTATTAATTATTAAAATTAATAAAGATTAATTTTTTTCAATATCGTTTTTCGACACATGTGGCAAGTACGTAAAGTTTTAGCGCAACGCGAGCAGGCGCCATGACCACAGAGGAAGGCAACATCACGTGTACGTTCCATACAAATGCTACAATAATGTGATTCCTCATATTCCTGTATTTTATTTTCTAGATAACGTAGTCTATCGGCGGAGGGCACGCGCGTCTGATCAGTATTGACTAATATACGCCCGTTGCAATCAATGCGTCGTTCGATGGTAGTACCACAATGCAAACACTTTTTCATGCGCATGCCACATTCTTCGCATGATATTTGATGTTGACAGGGCTCAAATTTGATTAGTTTAAAAGTCTCATTACAAACAATACATTCTTGTGGACCTTCATGTATCGGTACATGCGCTGGAATAGGTGTAGTGGCAGCCGAAGATGTACTACTAGTATTCGCTTGTGGTGATAGTTGTGGTGATGTTGAATTGGTTGCCGCTGCGCCTTCGACTAGTGTTGCATTGTTACCGGTACTATTGCTTACAGCACTTCCTGTGATATTACAATTATTTGTAGGAGTACATGGTGGTTTTGGTGCTTTTTTACGAGGTGCTGCAGTTACTGCCACACCAGATGTAGTGGGCGTTGGATTCATGTGTACATATTGATTATCTTGAGATATATTTGGCGTAACATTGTGTGCGAGGCGTTCCGAGTTAAGTTTATTCGTTGCTGATGATTCGTTTGTACTTGCGGCTTCAAAGTTTTGAGTTGGTGTTTGCCTTTGGGCTGGCACAGGCGGTGGTATAGTGGTCGTTGTTGTTTGGTTATCAGTAGGTTGTGGAGTACTTCCACTATTAGCGGCATAAACAGTAGCTACAGTCGTAATAACATTGCAATGTTCATTAAGATTCATTGAATGTATATTATTTATCACTTGCTGTTCACTTCCATTGTTTGGAGTTATTGTCTGTGCATTAGTAGCAATATTTTGTATTGCTCCTAAAGCTTGTTGATTTGCCATAATTAGTTGTTTCAAGTTTTTATCAGTTATCCATTCAAAAATAGTGGCACCTTTATTATTTTGTTCTATGCGACAACCACGTCGTGCTAAATAAATTAGTACTGAGTACATTATTCTATCTTCACGGAGAGTAATCAAACTCGTGTATATAGCATGTATTGCTGGTGCATAATCAGGATTAGGTTCCGTTGCTTGCTGCAAATTCGCTTTCTTTATTACGCAAAGATGCATTGCGTTATCACCATCCTCATCACGTGCGGATATATTGCAATTTAAATTTACCAACATTTCAATAGCAGCTGAATGTCCCTGTGAAACAGCCAATAGAAATGGAGTTTGACGACGATTATTACGTATATCTATTTCCGCTAGACCTTCTTTTACCAATGTTTCCACTACATTTGCATGACCATTTAATGCGGCTAAATGAAGAGCAGCAAACCCGTCATCTTTTTTGACGTTAACAAGTTGCCGTGCCAACTGCAATATGCGTTTAGCAGCTACCACATTACCTTTCAACGAGGCATGATGCAACACATTAAATCCACGGTTATTTTTCACAGTAAAATCAAGATTTGGCGCACCGCATAACAATTCAACCACCTCAGTATTTTCTTTGCCAATCGCATCGTGCAGCGCTGTATCACCGTATGAATCTTGTATATTCACATCAGCACTATATGCTAGCAGTTCTCGAACGCAGTGCGGCGTCTTTTTGTGTGCGCATATATGCAATGCAGAACAATGACTTGAATTTAAAAAATTAATATCTGCTCCACTTTGCAGTAAAATGTGCATTGTTTCTGGTTGATTTCCAAAAGCTGCATAATGTAATGCCGAATCACCTTCTTTATCGATAACATTCACATTGGCACCTTTCGCAATTAAGTATTTAACTAAATCCACATAACCTTGATGTGCGGCAACTTGTATACATGCTTTACCACCACTCATAACATCAACCTGTGCTGGATGCGCATCTAGATATTGCTTAACGAATTCCATGTGTCCTTGTGCAGCTTCGCGTACTAGTTTATCAGCAACTGAAGTTCCTGACAGGCCTGATAATGGTGTCATAACATGATCAGTACGTCTATGGCTTAAGTCCATCATACTATTGGATCGCTCCGCTGCTGTAGCTAATGGTGAACGTTCTAATTTGACACATTTTGGATTCACTGTCCATTCGAAACCATCTTCAAGCTGTTGTATGCGTAAATCACCGTCTGAGTATACTTTTACAACTTTGCAATGCTTACCTAAAGCCTAAGGATATGGATAAAATTATTACCTAACAAAACAGCAAAATTTTAATTTATATCAACACTTACATATAGCATAAGATCTACCCACTCGCCATGTCCTTTTTGTAATTGCTGTACTTTAGAAGCATCACTTATAATAGTAACTAAATCACCAACTCGAAATGAAACAACCTTTACTAAAGCAGCGGGGTGGAAGGTCCAACGATTTGGACAGTTGTCATATTGTACGCTAAAAATAAAAAAAAAACCAAATTATATATCAATAAATTCAAAAATGTCAGTAATTTACAAATTCAGTGCTTGTTACTAACCGTATATCACCCTTTTCTGTTATTCTATGCACAGTACCAAGCTTTGATAAATGTTCAACCATACGTGGATTCCAGCCGCCATGTCCCTGCTGAAGCTTCATTAAAGCATCAACTTCTAGACATACTTTAACACGGTCACCTACTGAAAACGTTGGTTTAACAGTAGGTACTACCGGTTGTTGCTCTTCCGGTTGCCCTATAAGTTGTGTTTGGTATTATGATATAGCTAATCCAATTTACCGTCGATACCACAAATCCATGCAAAATTACTTACCTAAAACTGGCATGTGTTCCTTATAATAAAAACCTCCTGTTGTAGGTACTGTATATTTTAAATCAACGTTGCCTTTATGTCCTAATCTATATACATTAGTTGAACCTGTTACCCATGAAACATTCGCTACGCTTCTGCAAGATTCATTGTCCCATCCACGAATTTCCATAACCCGACCAGTTTTACCTAAATGTATAAACAAAAACGTGGGATTTAAAAAATGAGACCAAATCCTTTTTTTATTTAGTTTCATACTAATAATGTTTTATATACAAAACAAAAATTAAAAAATTTTAACTTTTCATAGATATGTACAAAGAAATATTAATGCAACCCATGACTGTATATTTCATAATAGACGTCAAGTATTGAGCACCAGCCATGCTTAAGGACAGACGTTGATTCTAAAAAGTCACTATCTAATTTATATTGTGTAGTATTTAGAAGTCATGATTAATTATGCTTCTAAGAGTTAAAAAGAAAAACTTTGCAAAATAAGGAACAGGAGTAAGAATGTAGCAGACCCAGGGTAACAATTTTTGAAGGTCTCTACATATAACAAAATTTACAAGGGCAGTTTTTAAGTAAATTATTTCAGAACCGCTTTGTCTAACTGTACTATAGAGTTATATACTTTATAATAAATAAGAAATATAATAGACATGAAATTTTTTTAACGTCTATTATAATCTTTTTTAACAGAACAAAAATCTGATATTATAGTCATTAAAGAATATTCACCACCACCACGTCATTAAAATTCACAAATTAAGAAAATGGCTACAAACTGCAATTTGAGCGATATTCTAAACATTAATATTAAGAATATAGTATGCAGAGTGTATCAGATCACAATAGTGTTTATGTCAATAAAAGCTATATTCTTACTGTAGGCTTTAGCATATCCTACTGCAGTTCTATGTTTCGAACTTATGATTATTCTAAACTGAGAAAGTATCTATCTGTGTAATCTACTCCTGCCATTTTAATAAAAAATTTTTTACCCAAATTATTTTTGGCAGTAACTTATTAAGTAAGGGTATATACCATATATATGTCTGATACTAAAAACAATTGAATCCGATTTTGTAGTCTTAACTAAAGTTTCAAGACTGATTTAAGTCATACTTAAGTTGTTGACTTCAGGAAAGGGATTTAAATGTATTTCTTTTTCTATTCCAACTATACACTTTAGTCGTATTGTCATTATAAATTTTGGTAGTTTTGACTTACAGATAAGTGAAAACAAAATTACAGAGTGTGGAATTTTCTAAAACAGTTTTTGTTCGGAGCTGGAATATCGAAGTAAACATTTTCAATATATTTTACTTTTTCACCATTAAAAAAACTAAAAATGATATTATTGTGATTATATTCATGTTGAAGATATTCCACATTCTAGAACGTCAGAACGTCGTTCCATCTACAGCAAGAACCGACCTAGCTCAATTAAGATCACGGTATAGCTATGTGCTAAAGAGTTACTTATCACGGATAAACACGTCTATTCTTAATGTGTGCCTAAACTACAACTATATCCCCATAACATCGCCCATCTGTTTTCTTGTCCCTCTACTCGCACAAACCTTAGTCCAATTAATCTTTACTCTCACTCTCTTGAAGTGGGTAGGTTTCTTCGTCCGGATCCGGAATGATTTCAGTTGCAATTCCACACATTCTTTATCTATCTCTCCTCCCCCTTTCCCCACCCTTACCCCTAACACCACCCATTCACATCCCAACTCATGTATACGTCTTGTGATCCTTGCAAATCCTGGCGGGTCACAGCAACAACATTGATATAATCCGAACAAAAAGATTATAACGAAGAGGTTAACGCTTTATGGGTTACATATGCTGTTGTAGAAAGTAATTCACACAAAACCAAATTACTTTTTGAACTATCTAATAATATAAATAAGTATCAGAAACAAAGTCTTCGAAAGGATCAGTAGTACTGAGTCCTTAACAGTTCTCTTATGCTAATAATTATTTAATATCAATGTGCGACATATACGAAGTCTTTCTTCTTTTCTCTTTGAGATTGTATTTGATTTTTTTTTCCAAGATATCAGAAACTCTGACAATAATGAGTTAAAGTTCAAAAAATTAAAGTCTTGATAAAAAAATTTTATTTAATGACAAACGAATTCTGTATTTTTAGTAAATTAAATCGATCAACATTTTAACATTTGGTATTCTTCCCCGAATTCTGTTTCAAAAGAAGGCACTTTAATATATTTTAAAAGAATCATCCTGTAGAAAAATAACCGTTTTAACCGTGTGCGTGAAAAAATGTATTTCATGGTACTCGCCTTTTTTTCTCCTCTCATTCCAAGAAATGAAATTTACAAATAATTCGAAGTATTCAAAATATAAATTATTTTTGTGATTCCACTCAACTTTACTTCAACGCCCAGACAGCATTCCAACTGTCTAGTATCCATTATCTAACACAAGTAGCTCTGAAGCCGTATGTAGTAACAAGTTTGAACCTATTCGCGATTTGCAATTTCGCGAATTTGCATAAAAACGAAACCATAACTAGTAGAGTAAGTAGTAGATTTTAAAGGGCGATGAAAAATATGGTTTAAAATTTTGGCTATCTGACTCTAGAACGAAACATGTTTGGAAGAAACAACAGTGTCTCGGAAAGCCTGCAATTGGACAGCCACAGAAAAATCAAGGAGACCGGATGGTGTTAAACTAGACGGTAGGCTTAAAAGTACAAAATATCACGACCGACAACTTTTATTCATGCCTTGACTTGGCCAAAAAGCTTCTGGAGAGAAAATTAAGATATGTGGGAACAGTTCGAAAAAATAAAACAATTATCCCATTAAATAATAATAATAAGAAAATAGTATGAACTTTCTAGAAGGACAAAAGTGGTTCAAAAGACAAGATTTGTAAGTTTTAATTTTATTGAATTTGTATGTTTTAATGTCCAAACCTCAAGTTATATGCCTATTGGAACTTTGTCACTGTCGTGGCTCCATAATCATTTACATGGTCATCGACCCATGTCCACGGTGTATTGCTTAATGACAATACCCGGACACGGTGAAGGCTAGTCACTGGAAAAACGACAAAACAAAAATGTATATACTTAGCCGTACAGAACTTTAATTTATCTATTGGCATACTCTACCCCAATTCGCATTTAAAGCTATATAGCTATATAAAACGTTAGATACATGGTTTTTTTGTAACAGCATTAACAAAAAATAAAAAAAATAAAAAAAAAACACCACCCCATTAGCTGAGGTAAAATTTCGATATGTTGACTTAAAAGAGGCTATAAAGAAACTATAACAAATGACTCAAATGGTCCAAAAACAACGTAAAGTATAAAAGAAAAAAATTGTTATCAACCGTTTAAACTATCAATTATTGAACCCATTATTGCCGGAAACTCGGATATTTAGAAAAAAAAAGCAGATTGTAGATTTTAGTTTAACAACATCAAATTAACACAAAACCGTAACAAAAACAAACAAACAATTTAGTGTCGAACAATATAATTTAGAGTCTAAATAGTAAAGACTGATTAGAAGTACACTGAATACATAATGATTGTAATAATTATATTTTGATTAAACTTTATATAAGTTATATATATCATAATAAAATTTAATTACCTTCGCCACCGTCTTGGGTTCCCCACTCCCAATCAGGACCACGTACAACTTTTGTTCCAACAAATATACCCTTCAATTCTAATTTTTTTGAACCTTTTCTTGGTGGTACTCGTACACTGTAAAGGATGAAATTTTTGGTGATTAATATGGGAATCCAAAAACAGAAAAACGAAAATTTAGAGAATCATAAATGTGAAACAAATTTTTTCTATTTCTAAAAAATAATAATAATCAAAAGATTTGTTATATCCAATATATAATATGCATAGCTTACTAAATTTTTTAGTTTTTGATTTATATTAAATTCAACAATTCATATATAAGAATTGTAAAAGTGGTAAAAAAAACAATACCTTATTTCACTTTAGTATCTTAATTTTATGATTAACCATTAAATATCATTCTGTAATATCGTTTTTAACACACAATTTTTCCAATAATTTTTTTTAATTAATTGCATATATATTTTAGGTGATGCAAGTACTATAACCAATTATTTTTGGAAATATTTAAATGTATTAAAACACAACTCTGAAAAATTTTATCATTAACTAAAAAAATGATCTAAACCTAAGTCAGTGCATATAGAAGTTTATATTATAATATATATATTCATTTACGAACATTTTATAGATTTCAAACCTTATCACTAACACCTATAATAACATTTTGATTACCTATTCAGATATTACTATGCTAAAATGTCTTCTAAAAAGTTGGTAAAATTTTAGAGTTTGCCTAATAAAACAAATCGGGTATCTGAGCAGTTGAATGAGAGTTTAAGCTCATGTACTTCTCATAATCTATGTTCTAATTTCATCAAATGAAACACAATGACTTCAAGCCGATTTAGTGTCGCTCACCACCTGAAGTCAAATTTTACCGCCTCAATCTAATTAAGCTGATTAAGTGCCGCTCATTATTTTGATTAAAACTTCAAATTTGAAGTCAACTTCTGCTGCTATCGACCGACAAACCTTATGCTCTATAGAACACCCATCCAACATGTACTTCTCTATGGTGTAGAAGTACGAACGTTATCACAAAATAATGTAGGAACACTGAAAATGTTCAAGACCAAAGTTAAACATAAGATTTTTGTTTCTCTATGAGTTGGTATCGACTACCATATTAAAAAAAAAAATCACGAGTTTGATTTATTATAAAGTTATTCAACGAATTAACATCCAACAGCTTCGATGCCTAGATATCCAGAAATTCCACCGAGTGAGGGAGTGAGTGATGGTTCAGAGAAAAAGTAGTTTAAAGTTACAGTCGGATGCTGAATACGTAAGAAAAGACCGTGTCTTTGACGAAGTAATCAGGTTGATGGAGTACTAACTGTTCTGGATGTATGAGAATAAAGAGCAATGCTTCGAGGGAGTTGTTAAAATTAGCTACACATTAAGTATGTAAACATTTTAATACAAATTACCACTGAATGCAATAAATTTTAACTTTAGTAGTTTAAACTTATTTAAGAGAACTTTTCTTGTGTCTCAGTATTTTTGTTAAAGTTCAAAAAGATGCATTGTATTTTTTTATTATTGAATCTATTATCACCGATAATCCTTAAACACTTAATTTATTTATTTAAATACACTTTTTTCAATTATATGTACCTAATCCCACGAAAAATATAATAGCGCATATAATAGATTATTGTGATTTGATTTTTAATTATTGCTTACCCCAATGATGTGGGTGTTGTATAACGTACGAATGGATGTTCCGAATCGTGTACATCAGTTCCGTAACAAAAGAAACATAAATGATAATTCGGGCACTGTGCGCATTTAAATACTATACCGGCAATACCACCCTTTGAGCAACCATCACAAACGACATTCGAGTGTCGAATACCTGATAAAGATATTTAATAAAAAAATTGTCATTAATATAAATTTTCATTATTTTATAAAAATTAACTGATTATTATTATTAATATTTATTAAGCGCAACTTACCAACTTGTGCGTTATCTACTATTATTAAATCGTACTGATTTTGATAACCAACACGATAATTTGTTCTATGCCCAGAATCCCAATTCACTACGACTGTATTCTCTGGTGAATGTGTTGAACCGGATCGTCCTATTTCACAAACCGTACCAACATGACCTTCTCCGCCGTCTGTATCGATGCAAAATGAAATGAGAAAAACATGAAAATAGCAGCATTAATATTTTAATTGAAGAAAAACAGAAAAAAAAACAGAAAAAAAAGAAAATTCTATAAAATTTATTTTTAAACTTTTGTTGCTCCAACTCGCAAAAAAGTGCGTAGTCTATCAGCTATGAAAACTCCAACTGTAAATTTGGAATAGACTGCATAGCACCCTCTTATAATCGCAGCATATATATAACTATATATGTAGGTTTCAAAACAAACATATATATATATATATATATATATACTCGGTCACTTTTCTCTCTTTCTCTTCCACACTGACAAGCATTTTCCTCCTTCTTCACATTTTTTCTTTAAGATACGAGTACGCTATCGTATAAATGCATATATACATTGATTGAATTTATTGCATACTCCATATCCGGCAGCAGCGTCGGTGGTAGCGCACCCAATGATCTTGTATTCTGTTTTTTTAAGAAGTGTACATCTTCCTCAAACTTTTCCGAAACGATGATTCCTTACATCCCCTAATTAATGCCTTTGGCGTAGCGTATGCTAACAATTAGTTGAATGCCCCGCTGCTATTTTTAGTCAATGGCATCTCAGACACAAAAATAAAACTCAAAAATTATCAACTATAAGAAGTCATTGGAAACGACGACAAAGCGATAAGTATGTATAAGACACGCGCTAACAGAAGCCATCTGCATTATTTGCAATGAATTAATACAAGAGTTCGTGTTGGTTCCCTAAATATCATTTTAAATGAATGCGTTATAATCAGTCTTTTAGATTTTAACAAACTGTAGTTCAAAATCAATATAGTATATTGTACACATATATATCATTATGTATACATTCGTATATAAGTAAACTATATAGTTATACATAACAGTATTATATGGTAGAAGCCAGCGTATTTACCTCCCGATACCATAAGTTTATCTTTTATCGGTATATAAATTTTTGCGAAAAAGTAAGACTCACAATTGGTAAATAATCAGATGAATATTGGAAGCAGTTAATATGTTAGTTAAAACGCAATTGTTAGTCAAAAAATTGGTCATAAGTATCGACCGATGTAGTATTTCTTTTGCGCGATGTTCAGATCAAATACGACGCTTGGTTTTAATCGATGCAGGGAGCATTTAGAAATGACAGAACTGTGCATTATACATTAACGTTTGGCCCACTGTTATGAACTATTTGTAGACAATGCACTCGGAATTATAAAAGCAAATTAATATAATATTTTTAAAGAGCTTAAGCACTTGGCTTCTGTGTAATTGCCAGTATTAAAAAGGATATAATTTTAATATTAGGTATATCAATATCAGTTAGTCAGAATTTTCAATTTTGTACAATAGTATTATAAAACCAATATGAACTTATGGTATCCAGATATTTAGTAATGCTCGTGCTTCATTAGTAATGTTGACATTCTCCAAAAATCTCACACAGAAATACTTAAAAGAAACATTCACTTCGCATCTTACAATATAAATGGCAATATCCACTAAGACCCAAAAGACTGATAAAAAAGGTTTACTTCTTATCTTGATATTTTTCAATTATATCTAGTATTTTCTGATCAAAAAGACCTTACCGTCCATTTATTAATCGGAATCAGAATTATTCAGAATTATTAATAATCAGAATTATTAATCAGAATCTTTAATAAATTATATATATCAATGACTCTCAGACCAAGTAATTAAATTAAGGTTTACATTAAATCTGAGTTTTCTAAATTTATTTAATATTATAAAACTGTAAATTATTGACAATCAAATTCCAAAAAGAAATCGCAACTTCCTTTGGCTCGAATTACTGAAATATTGAGTACTACGAGTATTATTAGGCCCACGAAAATGAGAAATATAAATTTTTCAACTGTGAACAATAAATTACCAAATTTTAATGGTGCATAATAACATAGCTTATAATAAGTAACTATAAATCATAATTCATAACCTCAAATTTTATATACGTATATATACAAAGTAGAGGAGCAATGTAGATTTAATGGTAATAATAATGGTAATAATAATGGTAATAAATTCAGTACAATACAGCAATAAATCATAAATTATATTAGACTTTTATCATTATGCACAAGAAGATATATAGACGTGAACCATCCAAATGTGGATTTTATCAAGAGATTAGAGTTACATAAGGCACTATGAATCAATGAATGTTAATTATATTAAGTTTAAGTTTATAGTTTATTTTATAATTTTATTTCACTTACGGCCTGAACACCTAGCCGTATTACAGCTAGGTGTTCAGGGCTCAAAACTCCACTGCCTAGATAGTTAAGTCTACGTCTTGCCACGACTGGTCAAACGCATAGAAATTGTTCTGCTGTTTCCAGTTACTCTTAACAGAGTCGATCAATCTTTTACAGATGGTATCGCAGTCTACAGTGATCTTTTTGCTAAAAGAGAGTTATAGAGTTTGATATCTGTTCTGCTTAAGTTGCAAACAGCTTCAACTTTTATATATCCGGGGATACTAAGCCGTTTTGACTGCCGCATGTCTTTTTGGGCTCTCCAGAAATCAGTTAGGTGTTCTTTTTCCCTTTCGTTTACTAGGCTGGTTTTAAAGCTGTTATTAACAGCGCAGAAGGGTTCGATGTCTATAAAATGTGTTTTTGCTTCCTTTTTGGCTAAAACATTCGCCCTTTTCTTGCCTTCGAAAATATTTTTAATAAACCATAGTTGTTAGAATCACAAATGTTATTGTAAAGGTGTTCCAGTTGATATCAAATACTCAAATTCAGAAACGCTAAAGGTTCAGGTGTGTCTACACATAAGTCAGACCGATGTTTTTACATAAAAAGTGTTTAAGCGCCAAAAACGAATGACTGACACACACAGAAAATTATTTCATTTTTCACAAACGAAAAATTCGTCAACTGTATTTCGTTTATAAAGTTCTATATAGATCTCGTTTGAGTGAAAGTGAATTTAAGTAATCACAATCAAAAAAACGGTTACGTAAACGTTAACTTCGTTTACTGATAACATGCCTCGCATATTGAGAAAATTATTTCGATTACCGCAAACGAAGAATAAGTCAGCTAAATTATAATCACGATTGCATGAAGTAAAGTTCAATAACCACAAACCAAGAAACGGTTGTCGCCAGCCAGTGTTCACTTCGTTTCCTGATAACGTTCCCGAACTGAAACTGTATTAAAACTTATCGCTTACTAAAAGAAGTAGTCTATGGAAGTGATTGTTTATTACGTGAACGAGTTTTTGAGCGGTGTAAGCGTTTCAGAGAGGACCAAGAAGATGGTTGGTTATGGTTCATGCGTGCGTCACTCGCCAACGTCAAGCATAAAGAGAATGTTGTAAAAATCGAGGAATTAAATTAAAAAAATAAATAAATAAAAAATAACCCGAATTGTAAAACAATAAGTCATGGATCTTGCGTCAAAACAATGTACCAGTTTATTCAGCATTGTCTATTCGCACGTTTCCAGCTAAGTATATCATCCTAGTTTTAGACATCCGCCTTATATCGCGAGACCTTGCACTATGTGACTTTTATTTATTTTCGAAGAGACCGAATCTGTATTAAAAGAAGTAAGACTTCAGTTCGTTAAAGGAATAGAGGCACGCAGCATAAAAGAGCTCATCCAAGAAAAGTTCCAGCTTATTTCGAATAATCGCAAATATGTATGGAGCGTTGTTGCGATAAAGGAAGATTGTTGATTGAAGGTTATTATAATTAAATATACGTATGCGTATGTGTATATTCAAAATATATTGTTTTATAATAATAATAGTATAAGTACTTAATACACCAACATAGAGTGTAGATTCCAAAACACCTATTAAGTGCTAAAATTTTGATATGCAAAGATAAACAGCAATGACAACAACCACAGCAGATGCAACAAACACATCACATCAGTATTTTTTAAGTAAGTAAATTTAAAAACTTTGTATGTTTACATTTAAGTGCGAGTATCTCGGGCCGCTGTAATGCCACATCCTGCGTATAAAAATTTTAAATATGTTAACCGACATAAAAATAGACTTAGGCGTCAATATTTATATATGTAGGCATACGAATGAATGTATACGTCCATGTCTAGTTTTGCTTGTTTTTAGTTGTGTTTTAATTTCTTCAACAAAATATCTGAGTGTGATTTTCTCTACGTACAGAAAGTGAGATACTCAAGAACCATGTATGCACTCTTTAGATATTGTTCGATATTATTTGGAAAAATACTTGGTATTTGGTACAAATCATTGGAGAGTATATAAACAAAATTCATTAAATTCGTTTTTAGGTGTTTTTTCTATAAAATATACTTGTAAAATAATTGAAAATAATTACACTTCGTTTTTGTTTAAACAATTTTCTGATTTCGATTTTGAATTTATATTAAAATTTTTATAAACAATTTGTTGTATACATATATGTATCGAAAGATATAAGTACTATGTATGCTACTTTGATTACGCAAAATAGCTAAAATGAGGCAAACTATCAATCACGATTGAATTTGTGTGAAATTTTGCAAATATCTCTGAAATACTTTGCGAACAGTAGAAAAGTAAACAGAATTATATATGTACATATATAAATTATATCAAAAATCAACAATTTAAGTAAGAAATTTCTCTGGTTAATGCACTTAATAGTAGCACGCACAGTAAATGACCTTCAGAAATATTAATTTCGATCATATTGGATATTTGTCTTAGGCATTAGATATATCAAAAATGATTTCATTTTTCAATATTTACTGGAGTACATGAGCAAATATTTTTAAAAATTGACTTAACAGGCACATTTTTCTATTTTTCTAATTATGGCAGCTAGTACATCGTGTCAAAAATTATTGTTTGATTTTTCAATATTCGAATACCGAATTAATTTAAATTACAGAAAGAATTTAAAGAAAAGTGAAGAATCAGTCGCTATCGAAGGGCTCGTCATTGTCATTTCATCAGAAAATGTAAACATCTATCTACTGATTATTATTATTATTAATTTATTTCTCCTTAATGGGTATAAAAATACATTTTAGAAGCCCTAGCTTAAAACAAAATATATTGTATATTATATATGATAATTCACGTAATGAAATTTCTGGTGATATGATAGGTATCGAGGATCACTGACTTCTGCATGGTATCAACGAGGTTTTGCGGGAGTCCAAAGGTGCTCATATTTGTACAGAGATATTTGTCAATTACACCTTCAGCGCTTATTATTATTGGAATGGTCTTGATTTCCTTAAGTTTCCAGTATCAAAAGGTTCAAATATATACTGCTTTTTTGAAGACCTATTATGCTATACGTGAAGAGAGTCTCCGAAGTTTACTTACACAATTTAAGATTATTGATACATCTAAAAAATTCTTAAAATGAATGGAGGTATGAATGGAGCTTAATGGAGATATTTTCTAGCAATCGTAAAATCGCAGATTAATTAATTAATTTGTATTTTCCAGTATCTATAGATGTCACTGTCTTATTCTCCCAAACATTTTAAGATGATATTTTACAAAAGCATGTAATTAAACTTAGTTCAGACCTATTAAGGCTAAAAAACCACTCAATATTCTCGTTGTTGACTCAAAATATTATTGTTTCAATTGGGCTTATCAACAATTAGTTAGTTGCTTACGATTTGAATTTAAGTGTAGTTTTTTCGAAGATCTCTATAAGTTGTTTGCTAGCATATGGTGTAAAAAACTAAAACTAACAGTTAGCCTACTTATCAGACCTCATCAATTGTGGTTTATTTCGGTTAAATCATATTTGCAGTACGTTAAAATTTGTTTTTGACAAATAAATCACTAAACAGCACTTTTTTTTACAGATGTTATTATCGCCTTTGACAGCATTATGAGAAGTTATCTATATGACCCAATATATTTATTTCTTTCATCAAAATGATAATTAAATTGCCTCTAACTAGGTTTTAATGGTAAATCATCTCTCCCAACTTTGTTGTCATTTACGAAACCAAGACATTACTTATTAATTCTTCAAAATAAAGATGAACGCAATGCACTGCAAAACATTTAGACAGAAGGCCTCATACTTCTGAATTGTATTGATGTTAACAGGATTAAGAGTTGATAAGAAACAAAACGCGTAGTTCATGCAATAAACGCAGATCAGTTCTTAACTTCTTGCACATCAGATTATAATTAATAGCCAAACTTTTAAACTAGTGAAATTTATTATCTTAAATCAACATAGTACTAACAATAATTTGACACTTCACATTAGTAAATTACGTTAGCTAGATAATATAAAGAGAATAGATGATGTTCAGAATAAAAAGTACTCGTACTTCAAAACGATACCAGGAATGAGGGAAACTTAAGCAGGAATAGAAAACATCTTCTAAAGTAGAAAAATCAAGTCTTAGTAAATTCATCCCTGCTTGATATTTATAAAGACAATTGACAGTTATGGATAACTGTCTTCTGTTTTAGAAAGACCGATTCGTAGAATGATGACATTTAAAGATATAATAACAGTTTACATATAATTAATTGTTTTTTAAATATAAACTTATTTCTTTAATGAAAATTTATCATATATAATAAATCATATATAATAAATTGTTTCACTGACCTAATGTATAGATTAGTTGGATATGATGAATTAACGATTACACTATCTAACGAATTTCATTTTCCTTTATCCATATTTAAGATCACAAATTTAAAAGAAACAAAATCTACCAAAAATCTCAATTCTAGACATGATGGACTTGCTAAACACGCACTATTCCAACTATGCCAAAATATAACAAGGAGTAGTATCCAAATGCTTACGTTCGCGATGACAGGTCATCGTAGAGTGACACTAAGTTGGGTGTCATCAGTATAAATACAGTAAGGACGATATTGGACATATATTTCAGTATCCGTCTCTTCCCAGCTCTGTTCAATCTGATCACAATCTGATTATAAAACTTATAAAATTTCTAATTGAAATTAGACTGTAGGTTTATTTTCAAATAAAGTGAGTGAGTGTATATCTCAAAGAATACACTGTAAAAAATAATAAACTAGTAATGCAAAACATTTTTCATTTAATTTCTTAAAGAGTTTTTCGCAGTGTAGTTAACGTAACAAACAAAATTCAAAGGAAATAAAACATAACTGCATTTATTTGTGTTTTAATTTCACAGAATTTTAATAAGTCTGGAATTGAGTTATACAACATTGGTACGCAATTCATTACAGCAAACGAAAGTTCAGAGGTTATTGTGAATCATTATAATGATCTTGTAATTCTTAATGGAATGTGAAAAGATGACTGGCTTCAGAAAATTCTTTGTAATTAAAATAAATAGCTCACACACAGGGTCATTAATAAATGTTAGGCTCATTTATTTAATGGTCAAAGTCACCGTTAAATTAGCTAAATCATTGTGATTTAACTAAATTGAAATATCGTATAATTTATACGCTACTACATAGATTATCTGCCAAATAAATAAATCATATTAAAAGCATCCATTTGGTCGATATAATATATCAACGTTCAATATATTCTAATTCTTGTTTAATAAATTATAGCTGTTGGCTTACCATATATGCATAGTCAATCAAAAGGAGGTACCCGTTCATAATTTGGAGAGCTAAACGTTACCGTTAGCAGGTAAGCAAAGCAACCGTATAGGTAACATTCTGCTAGAAAGATTATTTCATTTGTATTTTGGAATATATACTAGAGCTGTTTTAATATGTACAGTTTAATATTTGACCCTTCTGTCACATGCTACACCTGTATTTTTTTCTTTGTAATTTAAATATTTAAATTTGAAATTTGGACTAAAAAGGATAATGTTTAATAGCGGTGAAAAAAGAAAACAGAGTACATAAAGTCGAAGCTTACTAATTTTAACGTTACTTGGACCGAGGAATCATCATACAAAACAGTGTTTTGTATAAACTCGTCCACATTTGGTAATTTTGGTGTTTAACTGTTTTACATTCATTGCAAGAAATCTCTAAAGATAAAAAGTAAATCTAAATCGATCCCGGTGACAGTTTAACAAACTGTCATAAAAGTACTTACCTAAAAAGTACTAGAAGCCAAAACCGACCAGTTATACAGAAAGTGCTTAGTTATTTCTATATACCAGTGACTAAAAAGAACTGCAGTGAATTTTCAAAATATGGTCGCTTTATATGAACACTATCATAATCAGAAGGTTACACATGACTTAAGGGTCTTCTATTTATCATTGGAAAGCTAAAGAAAATAGCGCTAACTACTTCTTTTAACAATTTTCAAGGATACATAAACCGGTACCGCTAGGGACTTATTTAGGGAAGCACCATGACGGACCAAAGCATCTACTTTTTCATTCCCTACAATGTTTATATATCCGGGATCTCAGATGAAACTGATGTTAGCTAATCAGTTGAAGTTGCCAATTTCCGCTCTGTAATTACCAAAGTCCTGGAGAAATTTGAATGCAGCGTATAGAAAAAAAAGTTAACTTAACATTAACTTTTTCGTTATATATGACAATGATTTTGATAAATTTTTGAAATAATTTTGTCCAACAGAAAAATGTATATATTTAATAAATACTGCTTTTTGACTATTAAAAATTGCTTTTTTTTAATCTATTTTAGAGTAAATCTTTTAGTCCCAGAACGTCAAATACGACACTACTAATATACTATAAAAAACAGCAGATAACATTAATTAATAGAAAGGATTTGTATGCCAGGGAGACATTTTATATTATATCTCCAGCAACTAAAGCTTTTGTATAAGTAATTTAATAAGATCGGCATAGTCGTCAATTAAACCCTCACGACTAAATGTTATATATTGAATACCTCTTTAATATGCATTGTAGAAACATACTGAAATCCCTATTGTAATTATACGAAAAGAACATGAAGACATTTTATATTAAACTATAATCAAAAGTTGAATTATCCAAATAAAATAAAATAATTCAATAATAATGAAATTATTTTCAAACAAATAAGTAATCGCTATAAAGACAAAAATAAAACTAATTAATTACTGTAATAATCACAAAATTATTATTTTAATTTTTCATAAAATGATTATAATAGTAGATATCAAATTTTTAATTAACAGATATTTACCTTGATTTTGCCAAATCCAGTTGGGACCACGCACAACACGTATGCCAGGTGGTATTGATGCACGCATATTCATTTAGTTTCTGAATTTTGAATTTTTTATAAAAAAATCGGATCGAAATTAAATGATTATCTGAAAATGAAAAAATTTAATATATTAATTAGTATTTATTTATTCACAACATACTAAAGCTTCAAATATTATTCGAGCTGTACGAAGCACAGTTTTTTATGACTACAATTGTAACATAAGATAAAATCGTACATAATAGCTACATTGATAGTAGCCACTACCATAGTAACCACTGCGCAGATGAGGTTTATTTAAAAGATCGTGTCTTTCTCTAAGCGTTTGGAACCTAACTAGCCACAGATGCAAACTTTCATAAACTACGAACATTTGTTGGTACATATCTCCAACATATCCTAAAAATTTAACAACCAAGCAAGGTAAATTGCTCTGATGTTTGCCAACGATCGGAAATAGGGATTAATTGGATATACTTAAAAGAAACCATTTCAAACAATTTATCTGCAGACCTTTATTAAAATCCAAAGATTAACAGAAGGCAATAATACATAAAGTCACGTGTCGTTGCACAGTATTGAGCGACAGTGAAGCTGTACAGTGGAGCGACTAACAGAAACTCACAGATGGTTCAAATGTTTTACCGAAACTTCCGTTTTTTAAGATTTTAAGAAATTAAAGACAGTGTTGATGGCAATGATAGTAAAAAACTAAAACTTATTTTTAATATAAACTGAAAAATAATATTATTAAAAGTAATTGCTACAGCGTCTGCAACTACTTTGAGAATACAAAAATCATTGAAATTTAAATATAAATAAATATTTATTAAATTTAAAATATGATTATGCAAATCAATAACAGCTTTTTAAATAATGTAAATGTCTCTACAAACAATTAAGTGAGATGTTGCAAATGACACATTACAAGTAAATATTGATCAATTACTGTCAAGAAATTTTATACCAACATGGCAAAATGTCATCACAAGCATTTGCGTCTAAGTTTTATAGAACGAAAGTTATGCGAAATGGAATTCGAACATTATAGTGTGATTGCGTCATATTTGGCTGGATAGTCACAATTTCCTATGGTTCGTGAACTCAAACACTTTAAAGTGAATAAAATGTTTGTGAATCGTACTATAAATCATTATAATGGTACAGGCAGTGTCGCCAAACAATACAGTAGTAGATGACACAAAAAAAAAAACAGCAACATCACCTGAAATGGTACGGAAAGTGAAGGCTCAACTTGAACGAAATCCACGTCATAGTAGTAATCATATGGTCAAAGAACTTAAAATGTCCCAGCAAAGCATCCGACGCATATTCTAAAATAAGCTCAAGAGGTAAAGCCTTGCAAGTTCCAAAAGCTACAGGATCTGACACCAAACACCAAAGCAACAAAAAGTTGGACTTAAAAGAACAAAGGAGTTGTTACGCTTGCACAAAACACGAACGCGACGAATTGTGTTCTCTGATGAGAAAAATGTCTCAATTGAGCAGTTCATAAACTCTTCTTCTTCTAGGTGCCTTGTCCGCTTCGAACGTTGGCTAACATGATTGCTATTTTATCTTTATCTACTTCCTCACGAAAAAGTGATCTTGTACTTTTATTGAACCATTGACGCGAATTCTTCAGTCATGATATATGTCCTTTTCTAGGGCCCCGTCTGCCTTCAAAGATTAATTTCAATAGTCCGTACTTTTCCGGAAGCCTCAGAATATGACCAAAAAACTCCAACTTACGGCGTTTTACTGCCTCTAATATTTCTGTCACCTTGTTGACACACCGAAGTACCACTTTATTTGTAATTTTTTCTGTCCAGCTTATTTTCAGCATACGTCGATAGCACCACATTTCAAAAGCCTCGAGTTTATTCATCGATGCAACGGACAGCGTTCAAACCTCTGTCCCGTAGAGGAGTATAGAGAAAATATAGCATCACAGCATTCTTATTCTGAGCAGATCATAAACTCTTACTGCTCAAAATGATCGTGTTTACTTTACTTAGTGCACTGCCGTTCACTATCATTTGAGACAACGAATGGCCACCCGAAGTAATTTTTCATCTCAAGTAATGGTGTGTATAACTGTGACCGCCGATGGATGCTCCCCAGTCGTTTTCATTGAGGCTGATGTTAAAGACAATGCGACTTATTATTGGGAAAATGTTTTAGAAGTTGCTTAAGAGCCGATTGTAGAGCAGCACCGTCTCGTGTGAACCAAGAATGGTTAAAAAATCATGTTTTACACTTTATCTCGTTCATACGACATGAATGGCTTTTGAATTCGCCAGATGCAAATCCGATGGACTATTCCATTTGGGCCGGGACATTTTGGAGAGCTAGATGAGGACTAAAAAATATGCCACTTTGAATGGGCTGAAGAAAGACATTGTGCAGGAATGGGCCAAAATACCGGAAGGTCATATTTGAAGGCCATAGTCAAAAGAAAAAAGGAGGTCACATCGAGGTAAAATGAATGGATTCTGAAATTTTGATTATTTCCACAAATGTTTGTAGTTTAAATCATTAAAAAAATAATTTCACACAAAAAAAGATATCTTCACTTGAATAGGTAACACTTCAATAGCCTGTAATAGCTGCGTTTCAGTAATGATCTGGATCTTCTTTGCTAAAACGTTACGGATCACATGTGCAAGTAATTGGCAACGCTTCAATCATATCAGCTGTGTTTGTTTAAAAAATTTTATTTTGATTTATCTGAATAATTTTGGCGCTAAAAGAATATTTCAAAAATCTTTAAATATAAGAAATAAAAAATCTGAAAAGTGTAAAATAAATAAATTCTGCTGCAATGTCTGAATTATTAAATGTAAGTTTTCATTTATTCTGTTTAATTCTGTAGTAAATAATTAAAAATTGCAAATTTTAATAAAAACATCGACCGACAGTGAAACTGACTCTTCCACTCCCTTTTTAAACCCTAATTCAAGTGTATTAAGCTCAGGATGAAGTGCATCAGCATGAAAATATTGGGAATTTTATGGAAAATATTAATAAACTTCAACGATGTACTATTAATTATTTGACGAGTATGTGGGCATAGATAATATAATTGCTTATTATTAATTATATTTCATATTTCAATAGACTTGTTTATGAATTCCAATCACGAAATACAAAATAACCGTGGTGGTCACAATCGGACGAGAGCAGAGAAGGAGATTTATATATTTTATACCTTTTGCAAAATTAGTATTTTTTTTTTTTTTTTGCATATTAAAAGCTTCTGTGTGGAGAATAATTGAAAGAGCTAGTGCTTGGCTCATGTCAATTGGATATGACCAATTTATAAAGTGTCCAAATACGGCCGAAGCAGTTGCTAATATGGCAAAAGTGGAAGCTACGAAAAAATTTCCATTCGTAATTGGTTGCATAAACAGCACACATATTAAAATAAGTGCTTTACACCAGGACTTCTTTCCGGACCAGAGAATATCGCGGGCCAATACAAATTACTAAATAGGTTCAAGGGCCGCAGAAATAAATACATACGTTTATTTATTCCCACATAAAAAATATTGTATTTTTAATAAAATGACTTACGCCTCTGTGTTTGGTGGATAAGAGTTTTTTTAACCAGTTTTACAAAGAAATATATACTAAAGCCTTTACCAATTAAGTAAATTAACGTGAAGTGTTGTTTAAATTATTTAAAAAATTTTAATTAATTTATTTGGGATACCACAAAAATGAAATAATCTAAATTATAACAAAAAAAAATTTGCCTAATTATGATAAATTAAAAACGTGCCGCAGGCCACACATATATTAGCCGCGGGCCGTGCTTTGAACAGTCCTGCTTTACACCATAGCCAGAAGACTTATTTCAATAGAAAGTATTATTTCAGCTTAAGCTGGTAGGCAGTTTGCGATGCAAACTGTCTTTTTATAGACGTGTATGTTGCAGAGCCTGGTTCCTTATACGACAGCCGAGTTTTGCGTAGATCGCAACTATATAGTACAGCATCACTGCCAAACAAATTTCTTAATCTTTTAGAAGAAAAGCCTAATTATATTGCCTTATTAGTTAATTCAAAGATAATGGTTCTTTGTGCTTTGACCAAAGAGAATTTAATGTGATGCCATCAGAAGCAAGAATATAATAGTAGACATTTTTGGTCGCATGAAAACAAGGTTTCGTCGAATGTTACATTTTATGGAATAACAAAGCACATCTTCAATAATAAATTGAATTATGTGCGCATGCATAATGCATAATATATATTGTATATAATATGATAACATTCATTATGAATTCATTCAGAATAAGTCTATTAACAAGGAAGACATAATAACTGCTTAATATCTTGAAGTGTATAACAGACGGATAATCATTACTATATGTTAAATACGCACTGCTAACGACATTTTGCGTAAAATAAAAAAAACACTTTTGAAAAAGTCTATTACTTAAGGAGAAGTTAACAAACAACAAAATCCGGATACTTTTTGAGCAGTAGGTATGTTCCACTTTTATTTTGTACATACATTCCACATTGAACCAGAATATGGACCAGTTCAATTGTTGGTTCACCCAATGTCATTGTTTTACATATTAATTGAACGGATCATTGTTTGCTGAAACGCAGCTAGATAGAAAGATAGATAGATAGTGAATGCAAAAATTTAGATCTATATACTTTTTGCTCTACTTTCGTACTACCTGCACTGAAAAAACACAGTTGTAGTGAATTCAGTTGACATCAGTATAAAATATAGTAAAATTGATATAAGATTCATTAAATAAAAATAAACGGAACATCTATTTAAAATTAGATACATTCTATGTGTTCAGACTGATAGAATATAACTGCGCTATAAACTATGTACATAAATCAATGAGACAATTTATGTAGAGAAGACTTGAAATAATAAATGGCTTTCTTAACTATAAATCCAAAACGTTATAATGTCTTTTTAAGGCACGAGCTTGAAAAAAAAGTGTTATAACGCTTTTTTGCAATTAAAAATATTTTTTTGGAACAAAATGTGTTCATTGACCCTTTTATTACATATTTATTGCTTAGATAAGTGTTTAATTGTCACAACTTATATCGCAACGTTTACATTACT